CTGACCTCGGACGCTGAGAAGCCCAGGGTCACAGGTAAGGGCTGGGGGCAGGCTCCTTGTTGAGGGAGGGAGAGGGAAGGGGCACAGACAGCCAAGTCCCAGGTCCCGTGACCCCCAGGCGATGCTGCCCGCGCCCCCCGCCCCCCTCCCCCTCCCTCCTTCCCCTCCCCCCCTCCCCGCCAGCCAGCTCCTCCACCAGCTGCCATGGGGCAGTGCACCCACCAGTGCACCCACCTGACCGTGGCCTCTCTCCTGCCTGCGGCCCAGGCATCGTGCACGAGAAGCTGCTAGAGGACTACCTGCACCGCGTCTTCTCCTCTCCTGACGCCGCCGCCACCAGCAGGTACTGCCCGTGGGCCACCTCCTCCCTCTGCAGGGCCAGCCGGAGGCTGGAGACCGCGCCTGGGGAAGGGCCTGGGTTTCCTCACTCGCTCCTGCCTGGGGGTCCCGCTGCGTCCTCCCCTCCGGCAGTGCCAGTCCCTTCCGTCCGAGGGAGCTGGGGGGTCAGAGGCTGGCGCCGGTCAGCGCTCAGCGTTACACCAACTCCGCAGTCGGCATCGGTCCGTGAGCATCTGCCTGCTCCTCCCCACCCGGCCCTCTGCCGCCGGCCTGAGTCTGTGAAGGACACACCTCACCGCCCGTTTCCTTGCAAGTTTAACGCATTTAAGCTTAACCTGTATCAGTCCCAGTGCGTCTTAGCAGACACTTAGAAGCGGGAAAGGCACCTGTCCGCGCATTAGCTAAGGGGCCTGTTTGGGCGGGATTTCTCCATCCACAATCTGTACAGTTTGGATTATGCTGAATAGAAGTTTTTTTAAAATTTGTTATTGATTTTTTACAGAGAGGAAGGGAAAGGGATAGAGAGTTAGAAACATCGATGAGAGAGAAACATCGATCAGCCGCCTCCTGCACACCCCCCACTGGGGATGTGCCCGCAACTAAGGTACATGCCCTTGACAGGAATCGAACCTGGGACCCTTCAGTCCGCAGGCCGACGCTCTATCCAGTGAGCCAAACCGGTCAGGGCTAGAATTTTTTTTAGAATTAAAAATTTCTGTCTCCATCAGTTCATTTTTTTTTTAAAAAGTTTTATTAGGGAATAATTGACATACAATAAACCACTTGTGTTTAAAGTGAGTTTGAATTGCGGATAACCTGTGAAGCCATCATACCATCAAGACAATGGACATAGCTCTCAGCTCCAAAAGTGTTTAGAAATTTAAATCCTATTTTTGTCATCAACATATCCCCTGAGTGTTTTCCTACATTGCAAACTGATCCTGGTGGGCGTGTTTTAGGGCGCGGGGTCTGCCCTTAACCGGGGCCCTGGTTGGGGGGCTTTGCTTTTGGGGACCGAGCTGTGAGGACGCCGGGCTTGGAGTCGTGTGGCTCGAGTATTTGAACCGCAATCACATGTAAGGTTGTTGCTAAATTATCCTTCCTGGGAGTGCCCCTCTTGCTCAGCCTCCTGCCAGCCCAGGCTGTTCTGTCTTTCGCAGCCTGTTCTCTGGGCAGGCTCAGAGGGCAGCGTTGTTGCCTGTTCCTTTAAGTGGCTGTGGTGGCCAAGCGGTTCCTACTTCTGGGGGGCTGCTGCCCACCTCCACCCCAGCCCCAGTCCAGGCCTGCTCCAGGGCCGTCTGATCCCTACTTCATGTGACAGCAGAAATGATCCTGCTGCTGCCGCCACTGTGGCTGCCAGGAGGGCGAGCAGGTGGCAGGGCCATTGGTCAGCGGCTGTGTGGACGGGAAGCCCTGGGCTGGGGTTGGCCAGATGGGCAGTGCGGGGGCACTGAGAGGCCATCTCAGGTCGCCTGCCCACAGCTGCTCTGCAGATCGGGCACAAGACCAGGGCAGCCTGCCTGGCCAGCATGGCTCAGGGGTTGAGCATCGACCTAGGAACCAGGAGGTCACGGTTTGATTCCCTGTCAGGGCACATACGCGGGTTGAGGGCTAGATCCCCAGTGTGGGGTGTGCAGGAGGCAGCCAATCAATGATTCTCTCTCATCATGAATGTTTCTCTCTTTCCCTCCCTCCTTTTCTCTCTGAAATCAATTCTATATAATAAAAGCCTAATATGCTTAAGTGTCTGGTCGTCCGGCCGGCAGTTCAACCAAAGTGTAATATGCTAATGATATGCTAAGGCCTTTCAGCCACTCGCTGTGACGTGCACTGACCACCAGGGGGCAGATGCTTCGACAGGTAGGTTAGCTTACTGCTGGGGTCCGGCCAATCGGGACTGCTCGAGATGGGCTGGACATGCCCTGGAGCCCTCCCGAGGTCCCTCCTCAGCTGGCAACCTCCCGCGTCCCTCCCCGGCCCTGATCGTGCACCGGTGGGGTCCCTCGGCCTGGTCTCTGGTCTGCGCCCTCTCGCAATCCGGGACCCCTCAGGGGATGTCAGAGAGCCGGTTTCTGCCCAATCCCACAGGCCAGACCGAGGGACCCCACTGGTGCATGAATTTGTGCAAATATGTTACAGAACAAACAAACAAACAAAAACCAGAGCAGCCTTCCCAGGTGTGGGCCGGGAAGAACTGCTGGAAGCCTCCTGGGCCCGGGCCCCTGGTGTGTTCAGTGAGGCTGGCGGCCTTTTTAAAAATATATTTGTATAGATTTCAGAGAGGAAGGGAGAGGGAGACAGAAACATCCATGATGAGAGAGTCATGGACCAGCTGCCTCCTGCACGCCCCCCACCGGGGATCGAGCCCACAACTCGCTGGCTCCTGATCGGAAATCTAACCATGACCTTCTGGCTCATAGGTCGACGCTCAACCACTGAGCCCCGCCGGCCGGGCCTGGCAGCAGCCTCTCACCCTGCTGCCTGAGCCCCCGTCACAGGCCGGCACCTGTATTTACACGGAGACGCAGCTCTGTGCATCTCCAGCCCCCGCAGCCAGGGGTCAGTAGCAGCTCACAGCCGGGAGGAGCACATGGTCCCTGAGACTGGGCTGGCGCTGCCTTGCCAGAGAATGGGCGCTGTGGGCCACCTCTGTCCCCTTCCAGACCCCACTCCCTAGGCGGGTGGACGGGGCCGGAGCTGGGATCACAGCAGGAAGAGCAGGTGCCGCAGTCTGTGGCCCTGACCCAGAGGGCGTTGGGCCTCCCCTCTGCCTGAGCCCCGCTGGTGTCCACCTCCCCCTTCCCCGCTATTCTTAGCAGCTGAACTCAGGGCAGAGCTGGCTGACCCGAGACGGCCCTTCCTCCTCTGAGCATGTGCGGGCCACGCAGAGAGCGTCCGGCGGGGCAGGTGGTGGGCCGTGTAGGTTGGTACAGGACAGAGCCAGCCTGCAGCTCGGAGGGCTGAGCCCTGCAGATGCCAGGCGTGTCTCATTCCACACGGGCTTCCCTGGCTGGTGCCCCCGAAGGGACCGCAGGGCTGGGGTCCAGGGCTGACTCGCTGACCTTGGTGCTGACCATGTGGGGTCAGCGTTGCTCCCGGCCTCGCTTCCGCAGACCAGGGAGCTGAGGCTTAGCGGACTCTGTTCACAACCCTGAGGAGGCACCAGATGGGACATCACTTTTAGTTTAGCAGCTAACCTCGCCCTCTGATCCCAGCACGCCAGGGTCCGGGGCCAGACACACGCTTCTTCTGCAGTCTCGGCCGCCGCCCTCGGGAGCTTGGAGGGCGGGAGAAGGGGGGTTAGTGTCCTGGGCTGGTTTCAGGGACTGGGGGCCCCTCGCAGCCTCTTGCTCTCCCCAGGAAACCCCTGAACTTCCAGAACCTGCCAGAGCATCTGGACCAGCTGTTACAGGTGGACAGTGAGGAGGAGGAGAGCCAGGGTACGTGGCCGCTTCTGCAGTGGGGTTGGGGGAGCCAGGCCGGGCCCGGCAGACCCTGGGGGTGTCTTGGCGAGCTCAGCCCTCTGCGTTCTCTCAGACCTGGGCCCGACCACACCCTCCTCCTTGCAGGGCAGGTGGAAGGGCGGCTCGGCCCCTCCACTGTGGTCCTGGACCACACGGGCGGCTTCGAGGGGCTGCTGCTGGTGGATGACGACCTCCTGGGGGTGAGTGAGGGCGAGGCCCGGCCGGCCCAGCCCGGTGACAGCTCACTCAGCTCCTCCCAGCGCGGCCCTGGAGTCCTCAGCCCCACGCCCTCCTGACACCCCGAAACCCTCTTGCAAGTACTCTAGCCCCAGCCTCTTCCCAGCAAGGCCATGAGCCTCCCCGAGTGACACACGGGCCTAGCCCCCCCGCCCCCCCCCCCCCGCCCCAGTCAGGCGCAGGGCAGGGTGGGGCACAGAGGTCCTCGGCTCGCACCATGAGGCGGGCGGCGCCGGGATGGACGCTCTCCCTGGGGAAGCGCCCTGTGCCCGGACAAGCTCACCCCTGCTCTCCCCAGGTGATTGGCCACAGCAACTTCGGCACCATCCGCTCGACCACCTGCGTGTACAAAGGTGCGGCCGTGCTGGGCGGTGGCTGGGCCCGAGGTGGGGCAGTGTCTGCCTGCCGGGCCTGACTTGGCTTTTTCCAGGGAAATGGGTGTACGAGGTGCTCATCTCCTCCCAGGGGCTCATGCAGATCGGCTGGTGCACCATCAACTGCCGCTTCAATCAGGAGGTACGTGCGGGCCCCCAGGGAGCTCCTCTGCCCCAGACCCTCCCCGACTGCCCACCCAGCCCTGCCTGCCCTGGAGCACCGCCGCCTTCTCTAGACACGCGCCCCAGGCTGGCCCGCCCGCCTCCCCCGGGCCTGCCCTGGAGCACCGCCGCCTTCTCTAGACACGCGCCCCAGGCTGGCCCGCCCGCCTCCCCCGGGCCTCACAGCCCTTCCTCCCCAGGAGGGCGTCGGAGACACACACAACTCCTACGCCTACGACGGCAACCGGGTGCGCAAGTGGAACGTGACCACCACGAACTACGGCAAGGTGAGGGCCGAGCCGCCGGCAAGGTGAGGGCCGAGCCGCCGGCAAGGTGAGGGCCGAGCCGCCGGCAGCCTGAGGGGCTGAGGGCCGGGGCAGGGACTCGGGGCTCCTCTGGGTGGCAGTGGAGACGCAGCCCAGGGCCCGGGGGGCAGGCTGTCGGGCGCCGGTCTCTGTGAGCCTCCTCCCTGCAGGCGTGGGCCGCGGGGGACATCGTGAGCTGCCTGATCGACCTGGACGCCGGCGCTCTGTCCTTCTGCCTGTGAGTCCCCTGCCTCCTCCCGGCCGCCCGGCTCCCATCCCTGGGAGGGTGGCCTGAGGGGGCAGCCCCAGCAGGAACCTGGGCACGGCCCTCAGGCCTCCCTTCCACCCCAGGAACGGCATGTCGCTGGGCACCGCCTTTGAGAACTTGTCCAGGGGCCCGGGCATGGCCTACTTCCCAGCCATCAGCCTCTCCTTCAAGGAGTCCGTGGCCTTCAACTTCGGCAGCCGCCCCCTGCGATATCCTTTCCCAAGGAGGCGTGGGCTGCTGGGAGGTCGGGGTGCTGGGAAGTCAGGGCGCTGGGAAGTTGGGGCTGCTGGGAGGTCGGGGCGCTAGGAGGTCGGGGCGCTGGGAAGTCGGGGCGCTGGAAAGTCGGGGCGCTGGCGGGGAAGGGCCTGCTGCCTCGGGAGTGAGTGGGCCCAGCTTGGCGGGGGGCAGGAGGGGCAGCAGTCCCGTAGTGACCTTGTTCGGGAGGTGCCAGTTGAACTGATGAAGAGCGTGAAGTAGCAAAAGGGGTGCCGCCTCCGGGGGGCGGGTCTGAGCCCCAGATGCAGCTTAACTGTGACACCTACCCAGTGGCGGGCTACCGGCCCCTGCAGGACCCGCCGCGTGCCGACCTGGTGCGGGCACAGAGGCTGCTGGGCTGCTTCCGGGCAGTGCTCAGCGTGGAGCTGGACCCCGTGGTGAGCCAGGGGCTGGGCGGGGGCGGGGGCTGGGGCCTCCTGCGCCCTCCCTCACACTCCCCTCTCCCCCCGAGGAGGGGCGGCTGCTGGAGAAGGAGAGCTCCGAGTGGCAGCTGCAGGGCCAGCCCACCGTGCTGCTCACGCTGGCCCACATCTTCCAGCGCTTCGCTCCGCTCCTGGTGAGGGGCTGGGGGGAGGCAGGCCGAGGCCGAGGCGCCTGTGCCGGGGCTGCACCTTCACCTGGGAGCCCTCAGACCCCCAGGACGTCACCCAGCAGAGGAAGAGGCCTCGGGGCGGGTCCTAGAGGGGGTTGAGGGGTAACAACATCACAGGCAGGAGCGGCCGTGGCGAAGTCCCGGGAGGGCGGTGGGCAGCCTGTGCGTGGGGCGGCCTGAGGGCCCAGGGTCCCGCCGTGCCTGGGCCTGGCGCTGCCTCGGCCGGGTGCCCGTGGGGCGGACGGCCCCTCACCAGTGCCGCCCTCGCGCAGCGCAAGGTGTACCTGGTGGAGTCGGTGCTCACGAGCTTCCTGCTGGGCCTCGTGGAGGCGGGCAGCCCCGAGCAGGCGCCGGCCGCGGTGGGCCAGGTTCTGGACCTCCTGTGGCTCTTCATGGAGGTGAGGCTCCTGCGCTCGGGCCTCAGGCCGGGCCGGGCTCCCTGGGCTGGGGCCGGGGAATGGCCGTCGGGGCTGCCCCGCCCGGTCTGTGCAGCCAGCTCTCTCTCCAGGAATACGAGGTGCACGACTGCCTCAAGCAGCTGATGATGGCCCTGCTGCGCCTGTACCGCTTCTCGCCCATCGTCCCCGACCTCAGCCTGCAGGTGGGCGTGCGTGCCGCTGCCCGGAGCCCTAACCCTGAGCCCTGGGCCTCGCCTGCCCTCTGAGCACCCCCTCCCCGCAGATCCACCACCTGCGGCTCACCGTCGCCATCCTGAGGCATGACAAGTCCCGCAAGTTTCTGCTGAGCAACGTGCTGTATCCTTGCGTTGCCGCTCGGGGTCCCAGGAGGCTCGGGAGGACCAGAGCTGCCCAGTGTGGGGGGCTGGCGGGCAGATTCCGGGGCGACTTGGAGGTGTGGGGGCCCACAGGGCCTGCCCTCAGCCACAGCACTGTCCTTTACCCGTGTTCTGGCTCGGGGTTCCCCAGATCTAGAAGTCAGCTCTTCCTGCTCCCCCAGAATGTCGAGGGTGCGCAAGCAGAACAGTGGGGAGAGTGGCTCTGGGCCCCTGGCGGGAGCTGTGCTGTTGCCTCTTCTCTCTCTGGGGCCTTCCGCCTCCCAGGAGAGGCCACCAGGCCCCGCTCAGCCTGTCCCGAAGCCGCCTGTCCCTGGGGCCGCCTTTACTGCACACGTACACGCGTGGGCACCGGGCTTGGGCTGACAGCCACACCCTCTGGGGCTCATGGAGAGACACGCACAGGGCAGCGATGGCACCTGGGGCGGGCGCACTGTGGTGGGCACGTGGAGGTGGGCACGTGCAGGTGGGCACGTGCAGGTGGGCACGTGGAGGTGGGCACGTGGAGGTGGGCACGTGCAGGTGGGCACGTGCAGGTGGCCAGATTTCCGCCAAGCTTCCCGGGGGTGGGGGGCTCTCGGGTGAGCAGAGCTTGCCTTGACGGGCTCCAGCTTCGACGCGCTCCGGTCTGCCGTCTTCTTTCACATCAAGAGCCCGCTGCGCGTGGAGGAGGCCGGCCTGCAGCAGCTCATCCCCACCACCTGGTGGCCCCCCCACCCCGGCAAGGAGGTGGGTGGCCTGGGTGGCGGGTCTGAGGGAGGCTGGCCCAGGCTGGGGTGGGTGGTGGGGGAACCCTGCTGTCTCCCCTCCTGCGCCCGGTCCAGGGCAAGGACAGTAAGGAGGTGAAGGAGGAGACGGCCGAGGAGCGGCTGCGGAGGCGTGCCTACGAGCGGGGCTGCCAGAGGCTCAAGAAGCGCATCGAAGGTCAGGCCTGCCTGGGCCGGGTGGCTGGGCGGCTGGGGCTGTGTGCACATGTGCTTGGGGTGCGGCCGTGCCCGGGCTGGGCTCAGGGTCCCTGGTGGTGGAGCCCCATCCCAGCCTGCACCCCTCCTGCCCCGGGGCCCGAGGGCGGGGCTCTGCGGGCTCAGTGTCCGCTCCCCGCCCGCCCCAGTGGTGGAAGAACTGCAGGTCCAGATCCTGAAGCTGCTGCTGAACAATAAGGATGAGAATGGGGTGAGTCCAGGCGCCTGTGAGGGTCCCTGGCCCGGCGGGCGGGGCGGACCCAGCTCCCAGCACGGGCTGGTCCGGCCTGGAGCAGCGTCCTCAGCTCATCACAGCTTCATCTCCCGCCCCCGAAGGGTGAAGCTTCTAGGTACATCTTCCTGACCAAGTTCCGGAAGTTCCTGCAGGAGAATGCCAGCGGCCGGGGGGTAGGTGTCTGCCGGGCAGGCAGCCCACCGTGGCCCTGGCTGGGTTGCAGGCTCTGCCCCTGGGCTTCTGCCCCTTCTCCGCCTCCTTTTTCCCACTGAGCCCTGGTCCTCTGCCCTCTGCCCAGCGAGGACCCTGGGGCAGCTTCGGATGGCATGTCTGTGCCCTGTGCCCACAGAACATACCCCTGCTCTGCCCCCCTGAGTACATGGTCTGCTTCTTGCACCGGCTGATCTCCGCCCTGCGCGGCTACTGGGATGAGTACAAGGCTTCCAACCCCCACGCCTCCGTCAGCGAGGGTGAGTGGGCCAGGCCCGGCTTCGAGGCCGGCAGGGCCAGCCAGCCCTGGGGTGGGTGTGGGGTGGGGACTGGGGGGCGGGCAGCAGGAGCCCTGCAGGCCGGGACTGCGAGCCGTCCGCGCTGACTGCCCCCCGGCTCCCAGCCGCCACCTCTCTCTGCAGTCCGGGCCGGGGCTCCTTGGGCTCTTGAGGTGCTGGGCCCTGTGTGTGAGGGACACAGCCCTTAGGGGTCGGGGGAAGCTTTAGGCGCCCTGCACTGGGGGAGACCCCGCGGGGGCCAGGCTCTCATTTTCCCCTGAGCACTGACCTGGGATGGGGCAGGGTGGAGGTAGCCGAGGCCACACTGTGCGCCTGGGGGGTCGGTGCCACCCAGGGGTCCCCCCTGTGCGAGGCCAGAGTGGAGGGGGCAGCCTCCGGGAGGGTCCCTGCGGGTCTGACTGCCGGCCCGGCCGCCGGCTTCGCGCAGAGGCCTACGTCCCGCCCCAGGTCTTCTACAACGGCAAGGTGGACTACTTCGACCAGCAGCGCCTCGGCGGCCTCCTCTCTCACCTCCGCAAGACCCTCAAAGGTGCGTGCGGCCGGTGGGGACAGGTCCGGGCTGTGGACAGGGAGCCGGCTCTGCGGTGCGTGCCGAGCTACCTGTGCCCACTAGAGGGCGCCCGAGCACCGGCCTGCGGAGGGGGGGGCGGCTCTGCCCACTGGCCTCTTGTCTTGGGTCCAGCTGTCCCTTCCCTGGAGCACCCCCCACCCCGGGGGCCTCTGGGAGCCCTGCAGTGAGGCGGGCACGTGTGTGACAGAGTGGGGACCCTGGCTCTGGGCGAGGTCCCGGGGCTGGAGTTGCTGCCTGAGCTGTTTTGAGGGGTGAGCACGAGAGGCTGCAGGGCCAGGGCTGAGAGCACAGTGCAGGCCACGCAGGGGGGCCAGAGCGGACGGCCCAGGCGCAGGGGACGCAGCGGGGTGCCCCCGAGAGGACGAGCGAAGCCGGGGGCCGGGAAATGAGGCCGGGGCGCAAGGGCAGAGCCTCCGACAGGGACTGTCAGCTCATGGCTGGCAGCGGGGAGGTCGGGCTGCGGCTGTGCTTCGAGTGGGGTGAGGGCCAGGGAAGGGGACGGTGGCCGGTGTGCAGGTG